GGAAAAGACAAAACACACACACGAAAGGAAGTTACTTAAACGCCTGTCCAGCAGTTACCAGAGCTTAGTGTTCTGACTGCTGCTATCTGCAGAGGCTTGAATATGCTCTGTTTTGGCAGGCAAGCTCATTTCTCAAATTCCTCAGTGCTAGACTGCAGACATGTACTTGGCTCTGCAACACAAGCTGCCTCAGTCAGGTCAGGTACACTTAAGGAGCTTTTCCATGAGGTAACTGTATGGTCTGACAGAAAAGCACACGAAATACTGCAACATTTCAGGTGTATTCATCTACACCTGTATTAGTTACACCAAAGACATGCCTACAGATCACAGCTCTCCAAATACGAGATGTAGTGATGCAGGTTAAAAGACTACAGTTCTTTCAGCTGAATCTACAGCTTGATTTTTCAGCTTAGACAATCCATATTGAAGTGAAGGGCAGCAAACATCACAATGCACTGGGAGACCACGTATTTCCCTGCTAGTTTCTCTTCAGGCTGGAATGAAATCAGGTCTCTGAAATCAGACAGGAGGAAGTTTCTCCTTGCAAAGCACTCCCAGGCTGAAAGTGGTTCCATGATAAACTACTGTGCACTTGTGTCTGAGGAAACTTATTACTAGCAGGGGCCTTAGAGCTGTACAGGGAGAAGTAAGAGAAAACGCTGCTCAATGAAAACAGGTGGATTTTGGCAGACTTCAGAATGACAAGAGACTTCAGAGGAAGATCATTTATATTTCCAGAGTCAGGTCATCCCCTTGGTCTGCCTGGCTTCAAGATACATCAATATCAATAAATCACACCAGTGTGTGCTCCCCTCAGGAGGGGATAATGGGAAGTTTTACCCTACTTGAGGCAGGAAGGACCTGCCACTGGAGGCAGGGTATGAACACAGCTTGTATCTTGCACTTCAACAGAGCTGCTATTGCTTTGAAACATCAGCCAGGTTTCCTCTCAAGAATGCATCTGTCTTAACTTTATAAGCTGTGGCTGATGGTTCAGTCATAAACTTGACACTCTCAATTGCTCTCTGCTCAGAGTTTTAAACACTTCACTTTCTAGTTCTTTGCTACCGTTAACATTAGCCCTGTATGACAGTTTACTAGCAATAAAACTGCAGAGGATGTCAAAAGGTACTCTTTTCCCAAAGACTCATGCCTGGGAGACCTGGAAGCTCCAGAAACTGTCCTGGCCCTAAGACTGGGACAAGTTCTCATTTTATCTGCAGTGGCCACCACCCTACAAGGGCAAGGCCAGAGCATCCACTGAGCCCCATAGCAAGGGTAACGACTTCTAAGTTTTAACAGTCATGGGTACACAACACAATCTGGGAGAAACACATCAGCTTGAGTGCAAAGTGCTCTGCTGCACCTTCCCAAGCCAGAGGGCTTTATTAATAACCTGAGTACTTGGGGTGGGTGCCCAAGCGCTGTGCATCTGCGGTGCCTCTCCCTCAGCAGGCTGCCAGCGCTCACTCCCGTGCTGTAACTTGTCTCTCAGTCTCCAGAAGGAAGAGAGCCAGCACACCAGCCTCTGGAAGGCGATCACCCTGCAGAGGGGCCCCAGGGAAAGCAGCCAAAATCCAGCAGGGACTTGTGCTTCTGGCAGCTTTCCCATGGAGTCAAGGGGACAGCGGGTCGCTCTCCCGGACACGGGGATTACTGTACCTGTTCCAGCCACGTGAACAAACCACAGAGCAGCAGGGATCAATCCTGATTGCAGAGAGGCATAAAACCTTCTCTTTTGTCCTTGGATACACCCAAGGCTTAAAGCAAACACTAATCAGTTTTATACAGCCTGGAGAAGGGAATGGCAAAGCTGAATTCATCTCAAATTAAGATGAATTTTCCCCAAGCCAGCAACTTTTACAACAATCTACAAAATACACACTCACTGACACACACAGTTTTATCTCCCATCCTTGGGACCAAACACCAGGACCAAACACTTCCTCTGCCTGGGGAAGGGACAGTCTTCCCACATTCCACAGGTACAGCCCAACAGCTTGCTTAGAAGGACTGGCACTTGCCAGCCAACACAAACCACTTCTCCTCACCTTCATGGAGGATACACAACTGCAGGATTTATTCCAGCTTTTGAGGAGATGAAGAGGGAGGTGAGCTGTCCTACTCTAGCCTGGCCCTTCCTTAACATCGTGTTCATCTTCCTACAATGAAAATGATGGCTGGAAAGGACAGTCACGGCGACCCTTGATAAAGCAAGCAGCCAACACAGGGAGGAACAAGAACTCCCCTTTTCTCCTCCTCCCTGTTTGTTGGTGAGTACTCACCCTCTGCCTCAGGAAACCTCTGTAGTTAAGCAGATGCTGCATGACATATCTCCAGAATGACCCTTTGCTCCTGTCCTGGGCAGCAATTCCACCCAAACAAAAGAGGCAGAAAGAGCAGGAAACTGTTACAGCTTGGAGCTCTAATACCACATGCTACTGAAGCAACACAGTCATAGAGAGCCCGCAAGCTGCTACTGCATTCCCTACATCAGTAGATAGGCGCTCTTTCCACAGAGAAGCTGCTGACAAGGACACAAGATCCTCCTTCCTCAAGCTTGGAAAGTGCTGGTGCTCAGGCACAACAGCCCACACTCCAGGGGAAGGTTGGCATGTCTCACCTAGAGAAAGATGACTGAGGAAAGGAGCCAAGATCCTTGCAGGAAACCTTCCCATTTTGCCCTTCAGAGGGAAGGGGTTTTCCAGGCTATTCTTGGTAGCCCTGCCCAATACCTCACTTCTCTCATCTGCAATAGGCACGTCACACTGCCACCCTTACAGAAAGGGTTGACGGGGCAGTCCCAAAGCCTGAGCTCCTCCTCAGAGTACTGGCCAGACACTGCTGCACACAAACCTGGATGTGTCACATCTGAATCGCAGAGACACCCGGGCCATGATATAATCTGGATGCAGCACAATTATAAACATCTTTAAAGATCATTCTGAGCATCTCACCTGCAGCACATCCTGTAACATCATTTCTGTCCTTAGTTTCTGTTATCTGACTGAATGCACATGACTTAACTGAGGTAACTGCATCTCATTCAGTCTTCTAGAGTGTTTTCCTTCTGGCTTCTCCAGAACTCCTGTGCTTTCTTGGCAGACAATCACCAGGTAGGAAGCAGAGCACCCCTCTCCACTCAGTCTGTTTATTTACACTCCCAGTTTGTTTGACAGACAACTGTTTTTCCAATTGACACTTAATACCCTTGGCTCAAGCACACAGCACAAACAGCAGAAGGAAGGTAGGGTAGTGTAAAAGCCAGCCAGCACCTTCACGGTTGAGGGGCTTGCTCACGCAGTGCTTAGAAAGAAGGGAAGATGAGACATCCTGCTGCTCTTCTGGCTTCAGGTCCTGGTTCAATTACCCTCCATCACCACGCTGAGCTCTTTTGCACTGCAATTCTAGGCTTTTATTTACATAGTGACTTGGCAAACCACGCTGTGGCCTGTCTTTACAAAAGGCTTCACATTTTGCAGAGCACCCCAGAAGTGGCCCAGAAAAGGAGAGCCAGGGCAGACAAGAGAAACACTTGCACAGTCGAATCCCTAGAGCTTTGCTGAAGACACGGGAAAAAACTACCAATAACCCTATTAAACTGACACACTGTTCTAGGACAAAGCAGAACACGCACCTTGGCGCAAAAAGCAAAAGACTGCTCAAAAAGCTGCAAGTGCATTAAAACACTGTACTTGGACTTCCATGCTGCAACAGACCACGAGGTAAAATGCCTGTGTGAAAAGACAGCAGCAGGTTGCCAGGCAGATGCAGACAGCTCGTCTCAGCCTCATGAGGTGAACAGTGTAGAACCTGACCAGCTCCCGCAGCACTGCAGGACCCTCCCCACAGCACCCACACACCACTGCTGAA